CTCAAGTGAAGGGTTATATTGCGCGCCATAACACAACCTTCAAATTACCAGACGTTAAGGTTTTACTTGAGACTTCCATACAGCTAGTAACACCCGAAGCTTGGCAGAATGCTATCCGTCATGTTGTGAAGGAAGAAACAAAAATGTGGCAGCTTGACCACCACATCGACACCATCATAGAGCCAGTTATAGTCAATTTCAACGAGGAAAGCGATAGCGACAGTTTATTACTGTCAGATGTAAGCGGAAGCGACGATGAATAAAGGTAATTCCCAAATTTTTGACATACAATATGTTTCAAACCACTCTTTGTTAAGCATGTGACAAATCTAGTTCACCCATGTTAAACATTCATACCCCGCCTATGAAAAGCCGACTACTGGTAGTTAAGTGATGTTCACGTGAACATCGATGAGTCATTACAGTTTTAGATAGTTATAGTATAGTACAGAACATGCAATCTCAAGTGTCCCACTAGTACTTACTCTTATTTGATTCAAGTTTTTCGATAAAACACATTTATTAGTTTATTTAAACTTTTAAAGATCCTTTATTAGAATTAAAACAAAAGTCTTTGTACCTATATAATGTGCGATATTTTGTATTCATTGAAAACGTAAAGGGGGGCATGAAAATATAATTTATAGTCCGGTTAGCCTAAAAAAAAAAGGTAGGGAAACTCCAACTTAGACGATATTGAAGAAGTTATATTATTACCTGGAAGCTTTGATCCACTTCTACTAGTAGCTTTATCTGAAATAAAAAAAACATCGGAGTTATGTAGATATGAACTTAATCGATGCAGTCATTACTGATATTGTGCAGCTTCAATAGCCTCTATTACATAGTATCTATACGAACCGTTTCTGTGGTCTGAAACATCGGGAGGTTTTGTTGTTCGCTGTGTTGTTGGTGCGGGAATTTCTGAAAAGAGATAAGATCAGGTAGATGATTGTTGAATAAACTAATTCCAGTTAAATAATTCGGACTTTGTACAGGGTGGTCAACTAGGAATGCAAGGTACTGTGTCTGGCAACCCATCGATTGAGAAGAGAAAAACCTCGAATTACAAGTCATATAGATGCTAACAGTAATTATACACAACGCGGGCGCGTTGGTGATTTCCCGTATCTCTCCTCAAAGTTTTTGAAAACACAAAAAAACGTAGAAAATCGTAATTTATAACTTTGAACATAACCTGTCTTCAAAAAGGACAACATATAAATAACCCGTCGGGCACAGCTAATAGCTATACTTCATTGGCAGCATATTCAGTAATGATTTTATCGCACAGCAGATATCACTGATATTATACACATGCAGATGCAGATGCGATCTTGCTATTCAACCAACTTTCTTCTCAGAGATGAAAACTACAGACTACTCGGCTGCACAAAACGTATGCAACCAACAATGCGTGTATACGTGTAGTTGAGCCATTCCTCCATAGATGGACGCTCACGACGATCCTAGTGAGCAAACGTGAAATGACTGTTTGCACCCTAACAACTACCTATTCTGCAAAATGACATTTTATAGGGTTTTTTTTGACGCTTTATAGATTTCTTACATAATACCCGGCCTTTGCACGAAGTCGATGACACTCTCTAGACATTTACATTCGAAATCGGTGACAGTTCCCCGGGGCTCAATATCCATTATCCCGAGGCGTGTAAGATTTAAGCACCGGAAAGAATAAATTCAGGCAATCCTCATTACCAGTGAAAGGAAAGCAATTTGGGGGAAAAAGCGCTAGAGAGGCAGTTTTAAAATCGCCCCATCGCCCCACCGCAAGGCTTGAAAACAAATCGGACAATCAACCCGAAAAAACTCTCGCTCGGCCATCCAAATTATCTATTTTAATTTGCCGGATTCAGATTCGGCGACGGGGAGGAGCAATTTACCATTCCACCACTTTGCTTGGTTACGATTACGCACTTCTGTCGATCTCTTTTATGGGGGTATTTAGATTCGTTTCGTGTTAGCCGAAACAGCGGGGGACGTTTTTGTATCCAAAGAATGCAAGATACTAGAGAAAGGTGCCCACAATCGAAACTTAGCCTTCACTAATAAATTGTAGTTGGATAGGCCAACAATATTTTCCCGATGGTTCTTGACGTGCTCAATCCGAACGTCTCAATTGACGCTATGGAAGAGATGCGAGTTCGAATCTTATCGATAGCCTCTCTTCCTTTATCTTAAGCTGTTGTTTACTAAATATGCTGTTGCGCGTGCTTTCATCCGAAAAAACGTACACAGGTTACTGTCCTCGCAGGGTGGTATGGTGGTGTGTGTCTACGAGACCGCGTGGTGCAACTAGGAATCGATTGGAGATACATTACCAATCCGGTATGTTTCACTTGAATACCGGCAGATGGGGCATCAATCAGCTTGTTAAATAACAAACGAACAGTAGCTTGGGTAGTTAGTACTAGTTGTTCAATGGCCGGTAGACCGTATGCAGGGTGTTAGGGAAATAATATTCTTAACTTTAAGAGTTGATTCCTTGCATTATTTTAAGCAAAAAAGTTCATTATAATCCATGTCCGAAAATCAACCGTTTCGGAGCGAAAAAATGTTGAACTTGTTTCTTTTTGGTCATGAAATAAATTAGTTTTGCACCTTAATAATTTAAATGCATATGCTTAATAGCGTAAAATGTAGCAATACATCTATACTACGTGACATATAAATCCGAACACCCAGTTTAAATGGTTTTATTTTAATAAAAGTTGGTGAATGTATTTATCTTACTGTGAATAACAAGTGAAAAAATTTTCAGCCTTATCAGTTGGACATTCCGGTTTTTATACTGCTTTTTTTTTAATTCACTAACGCTCTAAAAATGAATATTTCAGCCGCAGTAAAGAATCAACGTTGGCGGATTTTGGTTCTTGACATCCTTTACGATCGGTTACGATGCCTAGAGTACGGAGACCTGCACGATTTCGTCAACTTAGTGAGTTTGATACGGGCCGTATAGTGGGACTTCGGGGAGCTGGACTTTCTTTTCGGGCAACTGCAGTTAGAGTGCAAAGAAGTGTAGACACTGTGGTTAGGTGTTGTCAGGCATGGCTTCGAGAAGGCCGTACGTAAAGAGCAAGGGGCACTGGACGCCGCCATAGAACAACAGACCGTGAAGATCGCCGGCTAAGATTATTGGCCTTAAGGGTCCGTTTCTCCATTACCAGGTCCATTGCAAATGAATGGTTTGCAGAACACGGAAGACCTATTGGCATGTGAAGTGTTTACCGACGAATGAGAAGTTTTGGCTTGTTTTCATACCGGCCACACTGGGTCCTCCCTTTAACTCGAGAACACCGACGTAATCGCCTTGAGTGGTGCAGACAACGGTCACTCTGGGATCAGGAATGGAACAGTATTGTCTTTAGTGACGAGTCTCGATTTTGTTTAGGCATGCACGATGGTCGTGTCAGGGTTAGAAGGCGACGTGGTGAAAGGGTGAAAGGAGGAATCCATAGTTTTTTGTTGAAAGACATGTTCATCACACTGTTGGAGTTATGGTTTGGGGTGCTATAGCTTATGGTTCCAGGTCACCTTTAATCTTCTTCAGAGGTAACATGAACGCGCAGCGTTATATCCACGAAGTTCTACAACCCCATCTTTTACCCTATCTTGACACCCTGGCAAATCCAACTTTCCAACAAGATAATGCCCGATCACATGTTGCAAGAGTCACAATAGACTTCTTTCAACATAATGATGTCACATTGTTACCATGGCCACCAAGATCTCCCGACTTATCCCCAATTGAGCACGTGTGGGATATGATGGGAGGAGATTTCTCAATTTGCAACGTCCTTCTCAGACTCTAGAAGCACTTCGAGAGGAGTTGGTGGTTGCCTGGAATGAGATACCACAGGAGGACATTGACCACCTGATCAGAAGCATGCCTAGGCGCGTTGGAGAATGCGTAGCACATCAGGGTGCATCCACACATTATTAAAGGTCAAAGGGCTTTAAAGCAGTGCAATCATTTTGAAATTTTTATCATTTACTTATTATGCTACTTATACAAAATTTTATTAAAATAAAACCATTTAAACTGGGTGTTCGGATTTATATGTCACTTAGTATATTTATTAATTAACTGTCTCTAACAAAATAATTTTCTTGTTTATTAAATTCAATTTTTCGAAGAAAAACAGATAAACAAAATCTCTCACACAACTGGCAACGTCGTACTCCGCCTGCACTGCATATGTATCATCGCGTGTTGTTGTGATTACTAATACAATTAACTGTAATTTCATGTGATTTACGGATGTTTTTTTTCTCTTTTCGTGCATGGCATCGTTTCAAATAAGTGACTGATAATCGTGGGGATTGGTGGTGTGTATCGCCACGTACCGGTAAGTTCTGTAAAATTTTTTTCAATTAAATGTACTGTACTGACAGCGTTATTAATTAAAAAATATTAGCCACAAAAAATTGCGCAAAAGTATTCAATAATTCAAAGCATATTTTCAACAAAAATACCATACAAACGTAAACAATTCGATGAATCAGTTGCGGTCGTCGTGCGCTCGTATCGCGGTTGCGTTGCAGCGTTGCCAAATGTTTGAGAAAATTTAATTATTTACGACTCACTTGATTTTCGGACATAAAATATAATTAACTTTTTTGCTTAGAATTATGCAAGGAATCACCTCTTAAGGTTACGAACATTATTTCCCTAATACCCTGTATATTATAGCACCAGAATCGGCGGCATGTAGCGGTCACAGTGGTGACCCGGTTGACAAATGCAAACTGGGATACAGTTCCAACAGCCACCTTGCTATTTTTACTTTGACAGTGGTCGATTCTGATAATAAATCGGATTTGTGCTGTCTTATTTGCTCAAATTTGAGCTTTTTAACTTAACTCGTTCAACAAATAAAGTGGGGGGGGTTTCTGGAAGGCAATGTATGTTTATAACTCTAAGGAAAAAAGTTTATTGAAGAATATATTTTTTTTCCAATTACCTTTAGGCCTGACTAAATTTCAGGAATATACAGAAGTAAAGTCTGATCTTGTCGTCTGAAATAGTATGAAAACTTACCTTCCAATTTGATAACACCGTCCGTTTCGCCTAGAGAATTCTTGGCGACACATCTGTAAGATCCGAAATCGGATTTGTCGACTTTTCGGATTTTGAGCATCATGTACTTTTTGTAGCCATTGTCCATAGCTACAGACTCGTACTTGTCACCTGAAAATCGGCAAGGTATTAAAAGTGGCTAAGCAAGTTGAATTAATGAAGTATAGAGGATTTAGAACACATCATGCGGGAAGAAGAATCGATCTACTAAGAAGCATAACGAAGGGTAAAATTAAAGGTAAAAGAAGCGTAGAAGGATAAAAATTCCATAGCTAGTAGTAGTAGTAGTAGAAAGATTTATTTAGCACATTTGGCTACATAAACAGAACAATTGTAAACAACTTAGAACTAGTAAATTCAAGCCATATGGTGTATGATGTAAATGCTGGGCAACCTATAATTGTAGATTTAACAAGTGATTTCTCAATTTTACTTTAAATTTTGTCAAAGTTTTCTGGTCTTTTATCTCCGAGTATAATTTATTATATGCAATCAACCCTTGATGGAATACAGATTTGTAGCATATGTTATACTTTTTGGTCATTAAATGGAAGTCATCTTTATTTCTGGTATTATGTAAATGTTGGTCGACATTTGATGATGTTAAATTAGTTAGACTTGATGGAAATATATTATTTTTTACTTTATAAATGAATATCATTACAAGATATTTGATAAAATCTTTTACATTGAGCCATTTTAATTTGCTAAGCATTTGCCTAATTGGAGTATATTTATCTTTATTTAGTATTATTCTCATGCACTTATTTTGTAAAATTTGCAGTCTTTCAAAAACGGAATTATTTGCTAAATATAGAATAGTCGAACAGTACAAGAAATTTGGAAGAATGATGGTATTATAGATAATTTTTCTGCTATATGAACTCAGACATCCAGAAACTCTCGATAAATATCCCACTTTACTACTAATCTTATTTATAACTTTTTCATAATGAATATCAAAAATTAATCGAGAGTCAACAAAAACTCCCAGGTATTTAAAATTTTCTACGAATTCAATATCTTCACCATCAATTTTCAGTTGAACATTTGTACATTGTTTTTTTCCGATTAGCAAGGCTTTCGTTTTACTTGCATTTAATTTTAGTCTGTTAGATGCTAACCATTTTGAGACAAGCTTCAAGTCTGCGCAATCTATGGGAATGATTTGAATTAACTTTTTAAACGCGCAGCTGAAAAAGTCACAGTTGCATCGATGACCTGCAGAAGAAGAAGAAGAAGCAAGTATTTAAGCCATAAAAAGAATGGAATCAGTATCTGACCTTCTCAGAGCTACGTTTCTGAAACGGTGTGTTAGAAAAACAATTAAATAGATAGATGTTATTTACCTGAGATGATCATATCTCCTCTCTCTGTAGTCCAATAGTTGATCGAAGTTGGAAACGCTTCAGTTCTGCATTCCAGCGTGACGTCTTGTCCAACGAACGCTCCTTCCAGTTGATTCGGAATCGATAACATTGGTGGAACTGAAATATAAAGAATAAAATAAAAAATCGTTAAGCTAAAATACATGAAATGACATTTTGGTTTCTACGATCGCCTACGTAATTTTGCAAGTTTACTGAAAATATTTCGGAATGATAAATCTTTACTCGATGAATTAATTTCAACTCCAGTGAATATCCGTAGAAAAATATAAGGTGGGGTCGTAGTTTTGCCATTTGACGACAAATTCCTTCTATTCAACAAACACCCATGTTGACTTCAGTAGTCGACGTTAAAATTATAATACAAGCTCTCAGCAAAACATATCTTATCAAGTGAACAAACTATTTACTGTTTTCTTTAAACTTTGCCACTCTACATTGATATGGTACTACAGAAAAAATAATACTTTATCTCCATTTTAGTTAAAATATCTATCCTAGGAAAGCCAAAGGTTCTTTGTAAGGCTGATCAAGTAATTGACAGTTGGCCTTGCTAGGGCGCAACGGACTGAAAATACTCTTAGTTTTTGTTTGTAGGGGAAAGTCGGGTATACAGGGTGTTCGCAAAGTTGGGACTTTACTTTACACGATGTATAGATCTTGATAAGAAGCTTTTCCTGGTAGCACATACACCAAAGTCTTACGAGATCTGTAAATTCAGTGATGAGACTCGAGCGAGGTCAAACTTGTACTGAAGACGAGTCACATGTTCCCGTGTCTCGCGCGGCGGCTGCAGTGTTGCTAGATCGAACGCTACGTTGCCAGTCTCATCACTCAATTTACAGACCTCGTAAGATAACCGCTAAATGAAATTTAAACTAAACAAAAACCGCGGAATGCTGAACCAGTTCACTTAGTTCAGTCATCGTTTGTTTGAAGTAGTTCGTTCGCGAACTAACTCGTAATATACTAAGTGACATATAAATCCGAACACCCAGTTTAAATGGTTTTATTTTAATAAAAGTTGGTGAATGTATTTATCTTACTGTAAATAACAAGTGAAAAAATTTTCAGCCTTATCAGTTGGACATTCCGGTTTTTATACTGCTTTTTTTAATTCACTAACGCTCTAAAAATGAATATTTCAACCGCAGTAAAGAATCAACGTTGGCGGATTTTAGTTCTTGACATCCTTTACGATCGGTTACGATTCCTAGAGTACGGAGACCTGTACGATTTCGTCAACTTAGTGAGTTTGATAGAGGTCGTATAGTGGGACTTCGGGAAGCTGGACTTTCTTTTCGGGCAATTGCAGTTAGAGTGCAAAGAAGTGTAGACACTGTGGTTAGGTGTTGTCAGGCATGGCTTCGAGAAGGCCGTACGCAAAGAGCAAGGGGCACTGGACGCCGCCGTAGAACAACAGACCGTGAAGATCGCCGCCTAAGATTATTGGCCTTAAGGGACTGTTTCTCCACTACCAGGTACTTTGCAAATGAATGGTTTGCAGAACACGGAAGACTTATTGACATGCGAAGTGTTTACCGACGAATGAGAAGTTTTGGCTTGTTTTCATACCGGCCACACTGGGTCCTCCCTTTAACTCGAGAACACCGACGTAATCGCCTTGAGTGGTGCAGACAATGGTCACTCTGGGATCAGGAATGGAACAGTATTGTCTTTAGTGACGAGTCTCGATTTTGTTTAGGCATGCATGATGGTCGTGCCAGGGTTAGAAGGCGACGTGGTGAAAGGAGGAATCCACAATTTTTTGTTGAAAGACATGTTCATCACACTGTTGGAGTTATGGTTTGGGGTGCTATAGCTTATGGTTCCAGGTCACCTTTAATCCTCATCAGAGGTAACATAAACGCGCAGCGTTATATCCACGAAGTTCTAGTACCCCATCTTTTACCCTATCTTGACACCCTGGCAGATCCAACTTTCCAACAAGATAATGCCCGACCACATGTTGCAAGAGTCACAATAGACTTCTTTCAACATAATGATATCACATTGTTACCATGGCCACCAAGATCTCCCGACTTATCCCCAATTGAGCACGTGTGGGATATGATGGGTAGGAGATTGCTCAATTTGCAACGTCTTCCTCAGACTCTAGATGCACTTCGAGAGGAGTTGGTGGTTGCCTGGAATGAGATAGCACAGGAGGACATTGACCACCTGATCAGAAGCATGCCTAGGCGCATTGGAGAATGCGTAGCACATCAGGGTGCATCCACACATTATTAAAGGTCAAAGGGCTTTAAAGCAGTGCAATCATTTTGAAATTTTTATCACTTACTCATTATGCTTCATTAAGTACTTATACAAAATTTTATTATAATAAAACCATTTAAACTGGGTGTTCGGATTTATATGTCTCCTAGTATATCAATATTAGTAATAATCAATGATAATATGAAGGTTGCTTACACTGTACTTTGAGAGATATCCTTTTGCTTATTGAAGGAGGTACACCATTTGAAGCTATGCAGAGGTAGATGCCCATATGGAGTCTGCTAACTTTCGTGATGTAGAGAATTTCCCCATCTACTACGTTGACTGCAAAAAATAATGTCTATTCAAAAATGTGTGTGCCATTGAAAGATCAATCTAATCTAATCAACATAATGCATGTGAATCGGACTCCATATCATACATCCATATTCGAGTTTGGACCTAACCAAGCCAAAGTTTAAAGTCTGTAAAGTACAAGACTTAAAATTTAAAGTGCTTGTAATAGTTTGATTAACATGCTCATTGAAAGTTAGTTGTTGATCGAAATAGATGCCTGAACCGTTCACATTTTCACTATGCTCAAGAACACATTTATCCGTTGTATAACTATACAGGGTGTTAGGGAAATAATATTATTTGATGATTTTCTGCATACGTTAAAGCAAGTAATGTTTATACGAATTGAAATCACATTTTATTATTCAGTATGTATTACTGTACGAGGGATGTCTTTTATTATATTATTATATATAACAAAGCGTTGGTTTCCCTTGAAATTACCACTCTCTATTTTAATTATATTAAAACGACGTTGATTCTTGACGCACCAGCTTTGTAGTTTTATTTAATACAGATGAAGACAGATGAATAAAATTTCATGTCATTTTAGAACAAGCCAAAGATTCACATAGATAATTAACGAATAATGGTCCCAAATTGGATCCCTGCGGATCACCACTGGTGAGACCCAGCCGATGATTGTCAACAAGCGTGAAACAGTTGTACACGGTTGGTAAAAACCTATATAATGTCAAAAAAATCGGTAAAAAGTCAACTTGTGAACTACGTAGCAGCTCGGTCAAAGCTGACATTTTATAGGTAAACCTACATAATATCATAAAAAGATATAATGCTAGTATTTAAGTAAGGTAATATGGATACCGATTGCTTTATGCAGTATTATCAAGAAACACCCTGTATTAGACGCAGGTGACGCAGTTCCTGAGACGCTCATCTTGGGTCTCTCTTAAGTGTATCATTTCATTATTCATGGCCTCATAATGCGATTATGAAGCCTTAAACCAAAAGAAATTACGCCATTAATTTGATTGCCTATGCAAGACGTTCAATATAAATATTAATAGAGACTTATTATGGGTATAATACCGTTATGAAAGAAGAGAGGAAAAAAGGCAGGCGATTTATATAAAAAATTAGGAGTCTCAAGGTGGAGATTAGGAGTAAATTCTGATTTATAAGGATGCTTTGGCCAATGAATGGGAAGATCCAGTGGGAAGGAATATTAGGAGATTTGGAAAAAATATAAATGATTGATATTGTCGAAGCTGCTTGATAAATTATGTTGCGTTTCAATGATTTTAATCGAATCTATAAGTAAAATTAAGGGTGCGGGGTAGGTGGAACATTGAACAGTCAAGTTTGTTTGTTTATGATTTATTTAGCATGGTTGCTACAATTACATTCTTCTAAAAAACTAAACAATTACATAACATACAGACATCATCAGAAAAAAAACAGAATTTGCATCTCTAAGAGTTTTCATTGTCCATGAAATATTCCTTTAATTTTCTTTTAAATATCTTTAAATTACAAGTAGACTTTATATTATTATTTAGTTTAGTCAGTTCTGAAATATTCATTTGCTAGTTATTGCAATTTTGTAAATGAAAATCTATATTTCCTCTTGTATAATATATCTACTAAGTGACATATAAATCCGAACACCCAGTTTAAATGGTTTTATTTTAATAAAATTTTGTATAAGTACTTAATGAAGCATAATAAGTAAATGATAAAAATTTCAAAATGATTGCACTGCTTTAAAGCCCTTTGACCTTTAATAATGTGTGGATGCACCCTGATGTGCTACGCATTCTCCAACGCGCCTAGGCATGCTTCTGATCAGGTGGTCAATGTCCTCCTGTGGTAGTTCATTCCAGGCAACCACCAACTCCTCTCGAAGTGCTTCTAGAGTCTGAGGAGGACGTTGCAAATTGAGCAATCTCCTACCCATCATATCCCACACGTGCTCAATTGGGGATAAGTCGGGAGATCTTGGTGGCCATGGTAACAATGTGACATCATTATGTTGAAAGAAGTCTATTGTGACTCTTGCAACATGTGGTCGGGCATTATCCTGTTGGAAAGTTGGATCTGCCAGGGTGTCAAGATAGGGTAAAAGATGGGGTTCTAGAACTTCGTGGATAGGCTGCGCGTTCATGTTACCTCTGATGAAGATTAAAGGTGACCTGGAACCGTAAGCTATAGCACCCCAAACCATAACTCCAACAGTGTGATGAACATGTCTTTCAACAAAAAACTGTGGATTCCTCCTTTCACCACGTCGCCTTCTAACCCTGGCACGACCATCGTGCATGCCTAAACAAAATCGAGACTCGTCACTAAAGACAATACTGTTCAATTCCTGATCCCAGAGTGACCGTTGTCTGCACCACTCAAGGAGATTACGTCGGTGTTCTCGAGTTAAAGGGAGGACCCAGTGTGGCCGGTATGAAAACAAGCCAAAACTTCTCATTCGTCGGTAAACACTTCGCATGCCAATAGGTCTTCCGTGTTCTGCAAACCATTCATTTACAATGGACCTGGTAGTGGAGAAACGGTCCCTTAAGGCCAATAATCTTAAGCGGCGATCTTTACGGTCTGTTGTTCTACGGCGGCGTCCAGTGCCCCTTGCTCTTTGCGTACGGCCTTCTCGAAGCCATGCCTGACAACACCTAACCACAGTGTCTACACTTCTTTGCACTCTAACTGCAATTGCCCGAAAAGAAAGTCCAGCTTCCCGAAGTCCCACTATACGGCCCCTATCAAACTCACTAAGTTGACAAAATCGTACAGGTACTCTAGGCATCGTAACCGATCGTAAAGGAAGTCAAGAACCAAAATCCGCCAACGTTGATTCTTTACTGCGGCTGAAATATTAAAAACCGGAATGTCCAATTGATAAGGCTTAAAATTTTTTCACTTGTTATCTACAGTAAGATAAATACATTCACCAACTTTTATTAAAATAAAACCATTTAAACTGGGTGTTCGGATTTATATGTCACTTAGTATAATTGTGGTAACGATTATTCAATTCTATGTAGTGTTCTAAATGTTCTGGCAAAAGATGGTTTTTTGTTTTAAATATAAAAATAAGAACCAAATATGATATGAAATTTTTTATATTCAACAGCAATTCGTATAACATAGATTTTATTTCGGTGTACTTATTTTTATTCAATACCATTCTCATAGCTTTATTTTGCAAGACTTGTAATATTGAAAATACTGCTTCATAGGCAGTGAACAAGATAGTCGAGCAATATAGTAAATGCGGTAGAATAATTGTATTATTAACTATTTTCTTGGAATAGGTACCAAGACTATGTGAAGCCCTATAAAAGTAATTTGTTTTTTTGGCAATTTTTGAAATAATGTTTTCATAGTGCTCCTTAAACTTTAGTTTACTATTAATATATATATATATATATATATATATATATATATATACCTAAATATTTAATTGATTCAACATTTTCAATTATTTCTCCATTTACCATAACTGTGATAGTATTTTCATTTAGGTATTTCCCTAGCAGTGCCTATATTTTCATCTGATATGTATATTAATGTATCATCTACAAATATCTGAAGTTTACAATAATCTAAAATATTACAAATGTCATTAATGTATAAAATAAATAGTAGTGGACCTAGTTTACTACCTTGTGGTATACCAACAAGAATATTTTTTAATCTTGATAATGTAGATCCAATTTTGTTTTTTTGACTTCTGTATATTAAATAGTTTTGTAAAATTTTGAATAAATAATTTCTTCGAACACTTTTTCAACATTGCCAGAACATGTAGTGGTGTACAACTTCTTAACTTGGTGGTAGAACACTTCAGTTTTGTTGGAAATTCGAAATATTATAAACAGTAATTTATTAGGATTAATATTCTTGCTCCAATAATATCAAAACATTCATTAAGCATACTTTTAGACAAAATCTCACTCTTAGTTTGATTTGATTTAATTTTTGATATAATCTTCTTGAGACGATTAATGTCTATTGTTCTACACTCACTGAATGATGCGTTATAATCTGAGCTAATGGGACATTGGTTGAAATCTCCGCTAATAATTGATTTTACAATGTAGTTGACACTTTCTATGAAATAGGTATTCATTCGATCTGCTATTATTTCTTCATTTGTTATTACCCCATCGTCGAATTTTATTTTACATAATGTACTTTTTTTAACAGCAGAGACAATGTTTTTCAACGTTTTCCACATATGTTTGCTATTATTTTTACTCTGATCAATTTTGGCATTGTAATATTTTTTCTTTTCATCTCGTAGAACTGCAACAGATTGGTTTCTTGATCTTGTGTATTCTAGCCAATCATTTTCACTTCCAATAATCATAAACTTTTCATAATTGTAGTGTCCTTTCAATTTAGAATCCTTGAACGTCTGTGAGAATCAAGGTGTTGGATCTGCCTTTTATAAATGTAGCTTCTTTTATGCAAACTTCAACATTATCCAATAGGCTTATATAGTAGCTATCAACAACAACATATGTTTCAGTCATATCTTGCAGTAAAAGAGCTTCTCGTAATTTTACGTGGTTAATATTAGTAAGTTCTTCCACTTTGTTAGCATCAAATTTATTTTCAACTTCAAAACACATCCATGAATGATGATTGATCTAAGGAGTAAGCATAACTTTTGCAATTAAATTATGTTCGTTCGTTGTTATCAAATCTATAATTGTTCTTGATTCATTTGTAATTCTGGTGTGATCATAGACTTTTTGGCATAAAAACTGAGTCGTATCGTCAGTCGTTCCTACAATTGTACGCTTCCTTGATTGTCTTAGTCTTTTCTCTCCTTCAAAAATTTCTAGGTTGCACCTGTTCCGTGTGAGCGTCAGCGCTCTCCTATCGTGAAGCTATTATCCTTCATTATTAAAGGATTCACTGATCAACAGCCAAAAAATATCCTAAATAAAATCAACAAAATATTACTATTTTTAATGTGCTAAAACCGGAATGAAACTTATTTTTTCAATATT